ACCTCCAGGTAACCTATCAAACTCGGGGGAGTGTCGGAGTAATCAGGTTCTGTACAAGTTATTGCCGTTGTAGGTGGTGACCACTGGACTCGCTCTACTTTCCTTCATCATCTACTCATACACCCTCCGTTCATCTAGGGCCACCTGCCACCCTCGAGACAATATCTGCTTCATCCTAGTCGCTGCTATCCTCGTAGTTGTAGGACTCATCTTCACTCTCCTCAATATACTGAGTCGTCTTCTTTTCTATTCAGGGTTGTACTCTCATTGCAGCGAGTTGGTTCATCCGGCCTCCTGCTCGATACCCCTTCCTGTATCCTCTATTGCTCAACTCGATCTGCGCTCTGGGCTTCCTCATAGCTCAAGCCAAGGTGGGTGGGGACGTGTCGTGTTGTTCGAGCTCCCTAATTTGGCACTCGACTCATGGACTATGATCGAATAGTTATTCTCAGATGCTCCGGTTACAACTTGGTCTCCCTTGAGTGTTCACTTTTTTGGATAATTGCGTACAACAGAGTGCTGAGTTGTGGCGAATAGTTGGGCTGGAGAGTTGGGACGACACTGCTAGGGCCCTCAACGATTCCTAGCGTCTTCTGAACTAAGTTGAACGTCCATTACTCTCTTTGGGTCTCTACCGATGGCGATTAATTATGAATATGGTGCAGCGCGGAAAACCCCTATGATTGAATAAAAATGCCCAGTTAGAATGGTAAGAACGCGCCATTGCTGAAGCGCAGCGGAACCCCATTTCTAACGTCGTGAATAATGTCTTCATCGCAAAGCCAATACCATGTAGATCCATCCACTGGTTTGGCTCCGAGACATTCTGCATTGGAGACTACATTTCTGTTGACCTCAGTGGGGGATTGATACCACGTGCGATTGATGGTTCCCCATCCGGTCACTTCCGTTGCCACCATGACGTCACAGTTGACGACCGGTTGACCATACGAAAATTGGAGGTTGATGCTAGCAGTCTCATATAACAGTACATATGGGGCGGCGCCCATCTTGAACACGTGGAATCGAGCAAGGCCGAGAGTGTTCATATTTGCTGGCTTCAACTCACTGTCACTAGACGAGCGAGCAAGTGCTGATTCTGAGACAACGATATAGATGGCCAACTGTGCGTATCCGCAAAGCTCATCCAAACGATGGAATATCAACGCAAATGTTACGGCGAATACTACAGGCACCAAGAAGATTGAGCCTAGTACGAAGAAAAGTGGTTTTCGATATTTTGTTGAGTCGTAGACCAAATCGAGAACATCCATCCGACGGGTTTCATCAAAGCGTAGATCCGGAATCCGGAGGAACGAAAGTTCAGCAAGTGCAACGAAGTGACAGAGCTTGGCGCTAGAAGCATAATAAGCAAGTACTCATACAGGACGTAACAATGTCATGATCGAAAGTGAGAACGCCGAAGAACGCGATTCTTATCAGCTACGAAGCAAGGGTTCAATCAGGAAAACCATCTGCCACTGATGGATACCTCAAAGCCACATGCTTTGAGCTCACTTCCATACCCCTGATGGATCATAGACCGTAACCGCCCAGGTGTCGATGGGCGAGCCCAGTAGAGCCACAATGTGTCGAGCATAGCCGTACTTATCACGCTCTTTATGGTGTTCGTGATTTTTGCTCAACGCAGAGCGAAGGCTGCATAACTATGGACTTCAACGCAATGCTCCAATGGGTGGACGAGAAATCCTTATGTTGAGAATCTATCCTGCCACGATTACATTTTCAGGTGATGATGATGATGACAATAATAAGATCAAATCGAGGTATCAGATGAGTCGTACTGACTTCTACTGTAAGATAATCTGCGACGGTCTTCTCATGAACTCCAAGCCCCTATGGATATCATGACGAAGCTTATCAATGGTCTCGGGAAGTCTCGACTTTTCGAAAGGAGAGAGATCCAGCTTGTGGATCTTGGACACACCTTCGGGGCCAAAGTCGCAGTAGTGGGCAAAGTAATCAATACCTTCGTACGGCTCGTTGATATAAGCAGCGGCCTTCGCTGGTTTACCCTTCATGCCTTGAATAAGGATATGAGCGAATCTGTTGGCAGCATAGGCCATCGAGAGCGTAGCTGAGCCGGCCCCAGCGAGAGCATCAACGACCTCAGTTACAGCGTTCTGGACATGATCGTCGAGTTTGGCAATGGTAGCCTCGTCGAGTTGAACATAAGTGTGGCGTGAGAGAAGACGGGTAGAATAGCACAACCACCATGCCCTCCAATGACAGGCACATCAACCTTTTCGACCTCTTGATTGGTAGCCTCAGCATAGAAGGTCCTTGCACGCGTCACGTCAAGACTCATCAGGCC